ATTAAATGTGCTTCCAATGTTAGGGGCAGCAAGCTCCTTCAAAGTCTTCTCTTGATTGTTTGCCATGTTGCTTGACTGTGAAGTAATCTGATTATGAGTAGTGTGGTGCCCTTTCTTCAATTTCAAAAGCCTCAATCTTGTCCTCTCAATCTCAGGGTCCAATGAGTGAATTGTGCATGGATTAGATCTGGTCATGCAAGGTTAGAATCACAAGGAACAACACACACTTCCTGAGTGGACAGAATCAGTTAACAAAGAAAGTACCATCAAAACACAAGCAATTGTTGAACTAAGACCATGATAAATCTCTATATGGTATAGGATAATAGCACAAAAATTTTCAGAATTTTTGGAATTGATCTGATATGGAAACTGGAAGCCTAAAATCAAGAAAAATAGGTCAATAAATGCTTAAAAATAAAAAAACTTTTAGAAAACATGCGATTTTTGAAAATTGAGGAAACCTCAATTGGCGGAGCGGGTTGCATTGAATAGGAAATTTTATTCTACCCCAAAGTCATGTGTGGTGGAAAAAATTCTGACACTCCTAGCAAAAGTTATAACACTTTTAAGTTGCACAAAATTTTTCTTCACCACCAAAGTGCATCTCTTTTTCTACAAATGATTTTTCAAATCTACCAACTCTACACACTAATAGACATCAAATGTAATGTGCATACAAAAATTCAGGTCAAAATCTATCATTTACTATTTTTTGGAATTTTTCAAAATCAGTGAATAGTGGATGAATAGTGTGATCAACAAGGCAAAGTGATTTCTACTAGTCTTCTATTTTTCTGATTTTTGTTTTCAGCAACAGGGTAATGCAACATACACCACACAAAGGACTTAATCACACACGAACTGAATCACAATATGTAATGCAATGCACAACCACAACCACATAACAAAATTACAATGAACAGAATTATAATGCAAACGAACTATACTGAACATAGGACACTAAACACACTACAATGAACAATGCAATCAAAACAGTTGGTCAACAGAACAGAATTACACAATTACAGAATTCAGAACAGCACAATGCTACAAGTATACGACATAATCCAATGCAAATGAACTAAACACAAATCACATATATAATTCGCACATTATGCAAAACACAGAAAACACAATACAATTCACAATTGAACTACACAAACACAATCAAACTTTTTATATTTTTTTTTTAAACACACAATGCAGGAAACACAATGCACCATTGAATCAAAGCAATACGAAATGCATCCTCGGCAACGGCGCCATTTTTTATAACCATGTCGCTAAGGTATCAAAAGTAACTAAATTCCTCACAAAAACATGTAGTTTAGGGAGCAACCTAGGTCATCTCTCACAAGGATGCAAATGCACATTGTTTCAATATCAATTATGCAAAAAACGTTTATGTTTGGGGGAGTTTTATGATTAAATGCAGAAGATTAAAATGCAGAGAATCAAATGCAGGGAATTAAATGCAGAGAATCAAACGCAAGGAATGAAAACTGAGATCCAAAACACACAAATCCAAAACCAAGAATGAAGCGGGAAAGTTATTACAAAACTGAAAAACGAAAAAAATGAATTAAAGGTGCTTCCAAATTAGCCCCTGGCCTCTATAAATAGTAGTCCTAAAAGAGCAAAACCGAATGGGCCAAAGTTGGGCCGAAAATAAATACAACCAAACCACAAAACAAAAGCTATACAAAAGTCAAACTAAAAGCCTAAACTTCTAAAATTCGTATAAAATAGCTATGGACTCCAAATAGCATGATCCATATGTCCAAATTGAAGCTCTGGAAGTAAAGAATCCAATGCAAAAAGAATGAGCCAAAAAGGATATCTACAAAAAAAGTTATGGCCAAATTAGTAACTAAAGGTCAGAATAGAAAACATGAACAAAAGTATAGTATTTACGAAAATTCCTAATTAACATGATAAATGCAAAAACATATTAAATGGAAGAGATAAGGGAATGAAAAGACATGCAAAGGATGCAATAAGACTAAAAATGTGAGAACAAAATATGAGCTATCAATTATTCACACTTGTATATATATATATGTGAAAATTTAGAAAACATACAACATGGTACAATTATAATAACATCTAACTAGATGTCATTATATGTAATTAAATCCTAAAATAAACTCTAATTTTTAAACATTTTTGTCTATACATGACACCAATTTAAAAAAATGTGTAGGATTTAGGAGCCAAATTAAAAGTTAGTTTCGCAACAATTTAGAATTTTTGTATTTTTACTTGTCCTATTATTATTTACTTACGAGAGTTAAGTGTCATGTTAGATTTCATTTTGTCACATAAAAGTATGATTCGTGATATTAGGACACATCTTCATAACAAAGATTAAGATAACTATTTTGTATATAATTAGATTTACAAACTTTTTTCAAGTAGGAACAAAATCAAAACTTGGTATCGATGTATAAAGACTAAAATTATATTTAAATCTTGTTTAATTACATATATATATATATATATATATATATATTTGTTTATTTGTATGTATATAAAGAAAAAGATAGTTAAAATCTATTGACAGTAGGAGTCAAACTTAGACATTTACATCAATTAATAACATTTTATAGAATATGAGACTGATTAATCTAAATGTTGAATTAAATATTTTTATCAAGTATATTAGTTTTATAAAATTTCATTAAAAAATATAATTAATAATATTTTATCACATTATTTATTTTAATAGGTATTATATTTTTAAAATATAAAAAATCAAATTTTAAATAACTTATGTATAAATATTTAAATTATATGAAATTTAATATATATATAATTAAAAAATAATATAAGATAATTTAACTATGTTAAAAAATTCTAGCTCGTATATATATATATATATATATATATATATATATATATATATATATATAAAATCTTTTTAATGATTAAAGTTATAAACACTTAGATATAATACCTTAAATTTTAAAATTAATTAAATTAAATATAAAAATATAATTTAAATGTGTAGCAAATATTTAAAATAATATTTTTTATTAAATTGTAGATAAGATTTTTATATAAGTTGCATCTTTTTTATATAATAAATACGTGAATTTGACTGAGTTGTTCACTCCATAGTTGATGAACCAAATAGTAAAATATATAAATATGATAAAATCGTAAAACTCTTTAATTCTAAGAAAATATGGGTAGAAATGAGTTAATAATGTCGCTGAAATATTAAGCATATACCTTCCATTTTTTATTTTATATATTACTAAATGTAATATTTTTGCATGGCACAGATTTATTAAATATGACAAGAATATAAGTTAAACTTAAATACGTATTCAATATCTATAAGTATAGCAATTTTTTTAAACTTTTTATAATATCTTTTATTTTCATCTCATAAATTTCTGAACATTTATTTTTTATTCTTGTTAACTCGTTAGATATAATTTGCTAATATAATTAACAAATGTACTGTTAAATTCTGATATGTTATATATGACTCAACGATGAAAACCTACTTCATAGTGTATAAAATGAATTGGTATAGTTGGTAGAGCTTAGTTATACATCTATTAACAAAGTAAACAACTATCTAGTGCAAGTTAACAATACGGTACAAAAGTAAGAGTTTGGAAAGGTCAAAGACGATAAAAGGGAAAAAACAAACTAAGAAACTGAAAACAAAACTCACTATATATACATGGACTAATGATAACTGATAAGATTAAATATGTTTTTTATGTACCAAATTTTAATTTTAGTACCTATGAAATTATTATGTTTTTAGTTCTTATATTTTTCTTGAATTATTGATTTTGGTTCTTAATCACTGGTAAATTATAAGGCTAATTCAAATGTTGCTACATGTCACATTTTATGAAGTTACAACCATGAGAAAGACCAAAACAAACAATTTTTTTAATTGCATAAAGGAATATTTTTTTTAGAATAAAAAAATTATGAAATTATTTTGAAAATTAAATTGTATATAAAATAATTAATTATTGTAGATAAAATGAAAGATAACATAAAATACGACAAAAATTAAATTTTTTAAGGTATTATTTATCACTAGATTTTCGTATCTTAAATAAAATGTTTATTTTATAAAAAAATAATAAAAAGTTATATACTAATTTTATTTTATTTTTTAGTATTTAATCGGGCTAATTATATACTATTTTCTAACAATAACAAAAAAGATTTAATAATTGTTTCTATACCATCAGTAAAGAAAAATAATCTATGTCACATACATTTTTAAGTATCAAATTTTTAACCCTTTTATTATGAAACTTATATATATACATTGAACTTGAGTTGATTTAAAATTTTAAAACTTCAACTTGATTTACTTTTTTTAACATTTTATTTATTAGTTTAATATTTACTAAATATATTTTTACTAAAAATAAAGTAAAATAGTATTAAAATACAATTTTATCTACATAAAATGACTTAAGATTGTAAATGAAATCTTTGATGATGAAAATAAATTTTCTTTAAAAAAAGAGTTAATATTATGTATACACATTAGTTATTCACAAGCTATTAATGTTAAACTTGTAAAATTTAAATTTTATTAATTTAAATAATCAAACTTAACTTCAACCTAAAATGAACATTTAATAAAACAAACTCAAATAATTCACAAACAAATAATTTAAAAATATTCTTGTTCTAATATTTATCCACAACTTTTCTATTGATATTTTTTTAACTAATTTAATTGTTATAATAATAATTAAATCAGCTATTAAAAAAATCTAGTGATAAATAATACCTTAAAGAATATAATTTCTTTATCAAAGTCAAGAAAATTGTATAATCTATGCAATCAAATTCACTTAATAAAATAAAGCTGATTAATTTTGTATTTAGTTGTTATTAAATAATCCCTTAATTTTTAAAATAATTCACAAACACACCTATATGATAGAGCCAGTTAAAAACTCGAGGTAACATCCAAAATTTAACAGGGTCCACATTGCCTTTTTCAAATATTATTCTATTGTATCTTGAAATTATTATTGACTGTCTAATAAGCACTGTGCTCGTGACTGATAATTGTGTTTGCTGCATGGAATGAAATCAATAGTGTCCCATTGGGGAAACCATAAATAATTATCATCAATCGTCGCAGAGGGGGTTGCCTTTACTTTTCAACATCCCCAATTGTTAAAACAATCGATTCCTATTCAAAATCTTGTCTCCAAACTTTCTACCATATAACCACTATCTGATCAAGCACTGGAAGACTTAAGTGATGCTACAATAATATACAAAAAGAATAGTTTTCACACTCGAGAGCATATTGAACCATCTATCGTCATTAGATGAGCACTTGCTAGAGAAATTTGCAGGATGTCCACAGGACTTGCTCCAAGTAAATCAGTCTGTAGTTGATGTTGATCTCCATCAAATATCTGAAGAGAAGAAAAACCATTACCATAAAACTGACAAGATGAAAAATTATTAGAAAAATGTAAAGGGAAAAAGCATTTCAATACCTATCTTAAATCTAGTTTCAAAAATACAATTTGGTATTTGAAAAGTTTAGAGAGAGGACAGGGTGTCCTCCTCAAGGTCAGGGCATGCCATAAGCTTCGATGAGAGCTTACAGAGCTTGTACATACAACCCTTTATTTGACCAAAGTTCACCAAGTGAATCGACAATAACTTAGAAGCACTGCAAGTGCCATTTGATTCTCACTCTAAAGAAAAATCACAGTACAATTTCTTCATCTTTATTCTTTATCTCTTCCTAGCACAACTTTTTCCTCTATAATTTCAGCCAAAATTCAAATACAGTGTTAAGGTAAAAGTCAAAATAACTTTCATCTTTCTGCCGAAACTGTTTGCCAACAAAAACAGTTAGGAAAAAGCTAACATACACAAACCTTGTAGAGTTTCTGAATTAGTATAAACAAATCTAAGTTTCAGTAGATAACTGCTTTCAGCAAAATCATGTAATGATCGATATCCTCGTCCCCCACTATCATCTTCAGATTTTGCAACATCTTTAATTGGCAATCTTTGAAATTTATCAGCATCCTGATTAAGCATCAACAAATTGAAACAGGAGAAAATCTTAAATGTTATAGCATGTTAAAGTGGTGAATGACAAAATTAACAAACAAGGCATTCAAAGAGACCTATTATTGCATGTTGAAGTGTAAAGCTCGTTTATGATGGTGAAACATAATTCAAGTTATAGAGATTCACCTGTAAAAATTCTACCATTTTCTCTTCAATTGTACCGCGCATTGCTAATGTTTCCACGTGAATAGGACGAGAAGCACCCATGCGATGAGCACGACTAATTACTTGCTCCTCCATACTAGTAAAATTTTATTCCATTGAGAAGATAATTAAATTGGACAAAAGTGACAACTCGAGCCAAAATAAAAGAATCTATCAAAGTGAGCAAACAAAAGATCCAATGCCAAACACTTCATGTAATAACATAGTTCAAGTTTACACATTGAATTCCAAAAAAAATAAAATTCAGTATTGACAGATGATGCACATTACCCACCCCTCCCTCCCCCTGGCTACAAAATTCTAAATGCCAAAAACGCTTATGGCTGAGTTTGCAGAAAATTTTACCAAACTCACATCTTTTGAAGAAAATTCGAAGAAGTAAATTTATTTATTTTTTTCAAAATCAATTTACCCCTTCAAGGCATTCCAATTTTACATCCTCATATGTCCATAGATAGGTTTGATGCACTAACCTTCTGTCCCAAATTGGCTCCATTAAAAACACACGTGTAACAAAACTCAAGTCAAGACCCAATGCCGCACTTCCATCCATTAGAAGGGCCATACAACTAGAATCATGCTGGAACATGGCTAATGACTTCTTCTGGAAAAGGTAAAAGTAAATTAACAAAAGATCAGAAACTAAAAGTAAAGTTAAATTTTAAGAAAAAGTAAATGGGAATTCCAACACTATATACCTTGTTGCTGGAATGCATTGGGCTATACATTCCAGTAAATTTGATACCAGCAATAGTCAACTGCAAAGGAGAAATCCAATTTAATAGTTTGATTTATTGCAAAAGGATCCACAGATGCCAAAAAGTAAAATAGAAATAATTCAAGATCAAAACAGATCACACCCCACATGTTGTACAGAAAAAGCACCTGCTGTTCAATGACATGTATATGCTCAAGAAATTGAGAAAATATCAGAACTTTCTCAGGATTCAAATTGATCTTAGAGCTACTTATAGAACATTCCTTGAACGGTGATTTGTCATCTCTTCTATGCATATAGAAACTATTCTCCATATGCATCTCATCATTGCTATTGTCCATATCGAAGCTTGTCTCTTTATTGGTTCCTTGCAAAGCTTTCAACCTTTGGATGAGATAGGAGACTTTACTACTAGATGTTGATTGCCAATCAGGATCCCAATTATCCTGTGCATTCAACAATCAACATATCATGTTCAGGATTGTAACCAGAAGATAAAAAGAAAAAAAAAATGAATGTAAATGCTAACTGAGTTCTTCAATAAAAACCATGCCTGCTTATATGAAGGTTGTAGTTCAATAAGATCTTTGGGTACAGGCCACTTTGGTTTAGGATTTTCAGGTCGAGGAAGTCTGTTCTGCATCTCATATAATTTACTACAGCCAGGATAAGTGCACTTTGTATTGTCTATAGAAACACAATCAAGGCACAACAGATGCCGACATGGTGTAATCAGAGGGAGGCGGCACCATTCCTTGCACCTTCACAATTTAGTTAAAAGGAAAAGAGAATAATAAGCATCAACAAACAGAAGAAAATTAAAGCCACAAGAAAGAACAAAATCCAAGCACTACCTGACACAGTGACCACCATACAAGAGATTATATCTTATGGAGGCATACTCTCCTGAAGTAGAATCTAGACCACTTTGTACTAATATATCCATTGTTTCTTGAATATCTTCTCCAGCATGTGTAACTTTAATATGTCCAGCAACACAACATGAAAGCCTGACATTTTTTATAGTTGCACTTCTAAATTTCCACTGTTTTGGATTCAGTAGACTCTCAACATGTGAAGCATCATTCCAATCAGCCATCAATATATTACGCCGAACTGTGAGCACCAATTCATTGTAACTTCTAGCATGCTCCTCATTAAAATCTAGAAAAACAACATTCTTGATGCATGGTGGAATGCTTTGTAAATCTATCTTTCTTGCACTAATCATGCATTTGTGAAGTAAATGTAACAGACGAGACCTTCCTTCCTCCATCTCTGCCTCAAATGGCCTAAGCACACCAGCTTCCCATGACTTTTGATCCAATCCATAAGCTTCTTCATGAAGGAACCTTAGCAATGGTTGTAGATGTGGAAGTTGGCTGTTAGGTGTGTTAGGTGTTGGAGTCCCTGTTAGTATCCATCGATTAGAGGCAAACAATGAAATAGCCATTTGCAACTTGTTTGTTAAGTTCAGGCTTGAACCAAGAGTGTGCCCTTCATCTAAAATTATCCTAAACCAATGCACTTGCATCAAAGCACTCTTCTTACGTGGTCCCCACTCTGCACTCAAACGACTAAAAGTAGTGATGACAACATCATAATCCCAAGCGAGACAATGAGCAGATGGCTTACGATGATCAGTCCAAACATAAACCCGCAATTGGCCAGGCCTCACATGCTTTTCTATTTGTGTTTTCCAATGATCAACCAAGTTTGCAGGAACAACTACCAGGGTTGCTCTTGACAAGTATAACCTAACCAAATCTAATGGCTCATGGAGAGCCATGCCAAGCGCAGCCACATCAAAAGTCAAATTGTTAAGATTTTGTGGATAGTACCACTTGCATATACCTTTCTCTACTTTCTTTAAGAGGCCAAATGCTTGAAATATTTTATGAAATGCATTAAAATATCCATTAGACGTAGTACAAGTGTTTAAAATAGGACCTCTTATGCCATTTGTTTCCATTCCAGCTAACTTGTCTGCTGAAATTTCAGCCAACCAAGTCAAGGCCTTCTTTGTCTGAGAATTTATCAATGTGTAGTGCTCCTTTAGTACACTAGTGAAAAATGAAACATTTTGTTTCTCACCACCAGGAGTTCCTTTCAAGTGAAATCCTGGCAAATGTGTTATCTTACAGGTATTCTGAAAATATTGTTCAGGGACACTACAACTCTGATACAAAGGGTCAGTGTTCATACTACAAAACCATGCTGCACTAGAATTAGCCATACTATTGTCTGCAAGCTTTCGCCACTTGTGACAAGCATCACACTGAATCCATGTATCATTGTGCTCCAAACAGTTGCCTTTATGCTTCCCAGGCCACTTGTAATTCTGTCCACAGGAGGTATCAATTGGCTTGTTTTGTGATGCATGAGATGCAACACCCGATGCCTGCTTTGCTTTAATTAATCCTTTGCCTATGTCTTGTTCCTTGAAAATCATAGATTCCTCTTCATTTGAGAAATTTAGATTTTTCTTTATATGGCTCAAACTCCTAGTGAACCGACCTGCATGCATAGATTCCTCAAAGCATGCATCTACAGGTGATTTGCTCTCTTCCCTGGAACATGAATCATGAAGTTTACTGATTTGCTGATGACCTGCCAATCTGGCTCTTTTGGAGGAGTAATCATGGTTCTCATTATTTCTACTGGTATCTTGGCACACATCCCTCTTACCCAAGGTATTACATCCAGTGATGTTATTACCACTGATCTCATAATAGCCACATTTCTGATTACCATTATGTTGACACCAGACTACTTGTGCCCCATCAGGTGGGTCTGCCAATGTACCTTGGGTCTTCACAATAAGAGAGAGAGCTGTTACAGTCTTACCCAAGCCAGGCTCATCACAAAACATTCCACCACGAAAATCTCTGATGATGGGTGCTTCCCCAGTGACAATTTTACCAGATACAGAATTTACATGGAAACTAAAGCTATCGTCAGTTGAGAGAGTTACATATAAAGGATGTGGCAAAACTTCAGCATCTCGCTCACGATACAACATCCACTCAACTGCTGCCTGCTGATGAGGAAACAAATTTAACCTTGTACAAGGCATTACTGAAGCAGCCAAGGATTTTAGATGACGGCATGTTGCAGAAACCTTAGTGAGGTCCATTGGGCCCAGGGAAGCTAAAATTCTAGTTAAAATATCATCAGATATCTCCCAAATCCCTGATCTGCAAGTGTTATCGATAGGTATTATCTTGGACCTATTAAACTTCTCTTGTTTTATTACACCAGGTACTGTCTTAAAAATTTCATGAAGTTCGAATAGCCTTTTCCTTGAAGAATTGCTTGCATGGGAATGAAGATTGCAACCAAGTACATGACAATCAGAAAGGTTCCAAATGCTCTCATTTACTCCACGAGTCTTCCTACAATAGTCTGGATAAGAAAGCATTGAACTTCTCTCATCCCAGTCACAGCTGCATAGGCATTTACTGTTAGCAAATTAAGACAGCCAAGGATATATTAAGAATAATCATGCGGGAAAACAAGGGCAACAGATTAGTCAATTTAAAACTATTACTACCCAATTCTGAGAATATAACTGGTGAGTTCACTGACCAAGCTAGAAATTGTATTAAGTTGGATAAAATGGTCAATTTTCTGATATGAAACTTGCTAAGAATCAATTTTTTTCTGATACATCATACATATTTTTAAACTACTGCCACAGCATTGACTACAAAATTGCCATGATGAAAATTAGCGTGCACTGTACAGTGTACACAAACACTGTAAATTTGTCAATGTATAATCTTTAAGCTTTAGCAAAAATTTTTATGCTTCATATTACAATAACATGGTAATATCAATGCCCAGCTGCAGTTAACCCCCAGCTCAACATATGACCTTTTAGCTCAATTAGTTTGAGACTGATTATGTTTGAGGTTACAAGCCATGACTGTTAAAAGCAGATGATGTATCTCACCTGTGATAGAGTTAATCACCCAAAAAAGGAACAAATAACAAAGAGTATCTGCAATTTGTCTCACTTGAATGGAAGTGGAAAGGGATCTAAATATACAAACATACGGTGAAGGTAAAACAGAAAAACAACATAAAAGAATATCCCACTCTCTTGCCCACGCCTCCGGCCAAATTCTTACAACAATTCTCTCCCCTTTTCATGTTTCCTTCTCTCTCTTATAACCAACTTTTCATTCCACATACCCCTAATGGGCGCCCAATGTCTTACCCACACAGCATAACCACGTGTCACCTTGTTACCTCTCCCGAAATATACCTTCCAAGATCTGTCCTCTAAATTTAACTGCGGAACCAGTAACTCAACCCTATTTCTTGAGTTAGTAGGCTCATGGGTCTTATCAAAATGTAAGTCTCAAGACAATAAAGAAATCACAAAAAGCTTACAAAACACAAAATGAAGTACAAAAACTTATCATCCAAACTACCGCTAATGATTAATTTAAGATCAAAATCAACATTAATATCAAATGAAAATAACTTTCACACTAATGTTAGTTTGGACATACTACTTGTGGATTGTTGCAACTAATTAATACAGCTTTCTGAATTTCACATATGTAAGATGCCATGAAGAATTGAAGACTATTCACTCTCACTGACACATTAACACATAAAACCTTAATTGCAGACATGGAAAAGCATTTCCTAATTCTCCCTGTCATTAAAATATTGATATCTCCCAACAGTAAATGCAAACAATAAAATATACCTATAAATCAAGCTAATTGACTTATAAATCAACATACCGCCAAACTATTCATCTAACCTGATAAAGTAATCAGCAATGAAACAGACATATTGCTCTACCCATATGGCCAAAGCTACTATTAAACCAACATACAAAGCATTAAGCCATAAACAGTTTTAGGTACACCAGATATAACACATGCTGCACCACTTAGCATAAGCCATATATTGTTGCCACATTTGCAAGAGCAGTAGTCTCTGGTATGAAGTGTAGCTAAGAGAACCCGATAGCTATGCTCATGAATATACGATGCAGGCTATGTAGATGACAACTGTCTTTCTGTTATATCAACATCACTAATTATTGAACTGGAAGACAATGATAGCCAAGGTGACAAATGCAAGTTGTCTGTCCCCCACAGTCACATATAACCACGTCATTCAAAAATACAGGTAGCATTTTGGTTTATCAAACGTCAGTAATGGATCTCTTTGATTCCCTGGAGTTCGGCCCTCATTCAAAAATCACAATGGCAGTTGCAATCCAATTCTTCCGCAATAGCTTAACCTCTGAACTAAACTTTTAAGGGTCACACCTCACCAAAATAAAATAAGAATCTGCATGTTAGCCCACCAAATCTAGAAAGGGAGCAATTGTTGGATGTGAGCCCAACAAGGCCCAACGTTTGGCAGGTTTATACCAGAAAACAAAAAAAGAAAAACAATTTTTCAATTAGAGAATGTGAGAGTATATAAAGAGGTGTAATGAATTGTGGGGAATAACTTTGGAAACTTTTAGATATCAAATTGGTGTAGGGGAATTCATCGCTGGAGGAGCTAAGGCTCTGGATTAATGTTGTTGACAAATTCAATAAATTGCTGCATAATCTTGAAATTGGCAACACTAAATGTTTTGGTTGTGTTCTGCAATTCCTCATATGAGATTTTTAGCTTACTAGCATAGCATTTTTTTAAGGATTTGAGTGAATCTGTCATCGAGGATAGCTATGTTGCACTCATCTTGTCTCTAACTCATAGTTAGTTTTCGATTCACACCTTTTTGTGTTTATTTAATTCCTAACTTTTCCTAATTGCATCACTGCCATCGTTATTGGATGTGAGACAGTGTGATGAAAGAATTGGACTGGGGACTCCCTGTAGAGGTTTTTAAATGAGTACTCTAGGGAATCAAGGAGAATAATCTGTTAATGATGTTTAGTAGACCAAAATCCTACCAGTATTTTCAGATGACATGGCCATATTTGATTTGGGGGATAGGTGATGAGACAGAGGAAGGAGACAGAGGATTTGCATCCCAAGGTGACATGGCACATATTCATTAATCAATGCTATGACGTATGATAACCAAATATTCAAAATGCAAACCACATCATGTGATACAGCCGCAACATCTCAAAACCAAATATTTTCAGTCCTTCAAGATTTTGTACTCGTTAAAATCATGACTTCTGACATGAATGGTTTTTTTTTTTCCCAATTTTATTTTTTTAAAATAAAAACAAGAAAAAAATAATATCAAATTTAGAATGGTAACTGTCAAACAAGTAGGTAGCAAAAATTTGATCATGCCACAAAACCGCATCAGACAGTGATTGCAAACAAAAGCCACAAAAATGCAGTTTAAAACTATAAGGGCCTGCTAAACAACGCCCTAAATCACCCTAGGACACTGGTTAAGAGTTTGATAAATAGTAATTTTTTAGTGAAAATTATGTTGAAATACAATAAAAAAAAAACATTCAATCAGGTAATTTTTATGTTTGTCAACAAAATATTTCGATTTCTATTCCTTAACCAGTGCCTAAGATCACAAACTGTAATATTACAAACTGCTCCTGTGTCCCATACTACTTGCCTTTTAAGGTAATGCAAACTTCTAACGAAAATTATCAAGGCAATTTCTATAGTGCCTTGGAAATCACTCTCACGTGAAACAATTATCACCATTAATTTTATATTAAATATGTATAATAAATATTTAATAAATCGTAGGAGTTAAATATTCTCTAATTTCTAACATATTAGAAGAATCACATCCTCTGATTTAAATTTAAAAAAGGAGAATACCCTCTCTCAAGTTTCCAAGCTGTTATTAAGTTATCAAGTTACTGTGATAGAATTACTTTCTTTGACCAAAATACCCTCATTGAAAAGTTAGAATGTAGTTGTGAGACACCAATAAGTGTGAATATTATTGAAAAAAATAATAATTAATACTTTCTTAACTTTCTAAATTGACAGATATAGCATTAGACAAAAGAGAGCATTATTCACGCAGAGAGTTCATTCAATTAATTTAACTATCTTCATCTCTCGCAACGAGACACATTGCAATGCTATCAGCAAGCAACACAACACAGAATTCCAAGGTGAGTATCAAAACCTAAAGCAAAACGGCGACGTTAGAAGCGAACCTCAAATGGCGAAAAACAGCGGCGGCAACGGGTCCTGATCGCGGGAACTGCCAGCCACTCCACACCTGAATAGGGAGGTAGACGTCGAACAAAACAACAACCCTAGGCACCTCAACGCACACCACGCGCGCATCGACCTTCACACACTTGCGTGTAACCAACGCACGAAGCTGGTGAACCACGCTGACGCTCCCATTCACCATCCCAATCTTCTTCACCCTCTTAGTTTTCGAGGTTCCGCATTCTGACAAATCCTTATCCACCGCACCCAAAACGACGCCGCTTTGGGTCCGGAACGCGACCTCGCCCCCGTCGCTGAAGGGTTCGCAGAGTTCGGTGAAGCCTGGGTCGTTGTCGCGTTGCGGAGAAGTAACTGTGAGAACCGCACAGAGAAAACCGCAGAGCTTGTGGTCGGCGAAGGAATTCTCGGTGGGCATTGTTGAAAGGAACCGGGGAGAATCGAAAGGAACTAGGGCATGGGATCCGAGGGGGTTCTGGATTAACACTGTACGGAATTATGGATGGAGCTGTGACCAAAGACCAAAGACCAGAATTAAAAAACAAAAATAGAAAGTAGAAAAAGGATGCATTCCTACAAGAAGGCCAACAGATTAAAATTGTCAGTTTTACCAAGGGCCAACAAAAGCATGAAAAACGACGTCGTTGCAGTGGACGTTGGTTGTTTTGTGTTGCGAGTGGTTTGTTAGTAACTACCTAGTGCTCTTGCTACGCGCCAAACAACGTCCGTGGTTTCCCAGTCGCACCAAGCGTTTTACCCAAGTTCATACCTGTGGGTCGTTTACCATTGCCCCTTGGCAATTAGATACTGGTATTGGAATTTTCTTTTTAATTGAAGTTAAAGTTATAGTTTTATTTAAATGATTTATGTAGAAAGATTAATATTAAAGTTTGATATATATTAATAAATTTAAATTTTAAATTTAATTAGAAATATTTCTAATAAAATCCCTGAATTATGTCTTTAGAAAAATAAAATTAAGATTCACATTGTATGTATTTCAGAGTATGTTATTTTCTAAAACCAGTACTTAAATTATATATTTTTAAAATATATTTTTTATAGAAATTAGCAACTTATATTTTATATTTTGTTTGAATGAGAAAAAAAATTGAGGTAACAATATGAATAATAATATATTTTTAATTTTTGTGTAATTAGAAAAAAATTACACTGAAAAAATTACAAAGAAGATATATCATAAAAGATAAAGGAGTGTATTCTACTAAGGGAAGGATAAGATCAAATATGCACAGAAGTATTATTTTGAACTCTAACCTTAATCTAAATCATCTATCATGAAGTTCAAATCTCTTGAAAAATAGAAGATGTTAACATCTCAATCTTTATGTAATTAGTTAACAATATCTTGAATAAGCATTGAATGAATATAGTCATCCTTCATGTGTTATAAATTTTGCTAAAAGAGCATCATTGATGTCCAACAATATGATAAAAATATTATTTGTATTGAATCTCTAAAAACCTCACTAGCTTCAATGCAATCATAGGTAGAAAAGAAATGGTCATTGACATTTAATTTAACAAAAGAAAAAATGGTGGTGAATAAGGGTTTCATTGGAGAGGCACACGGTATCCACCAAAACTTTCGATTAGAGATGGCAATGATCCAATGTCAATGGTGACATTTAAAGATAAGGGATAAAATCTAATAAGTTAGAGTCTTATGTGCGTTAAATAAAAGAAAAAAAATGCATACTACCAAGATTTTATATTGATTATAAGATTTATGATAACAAAGGATAACCATGGAGATTCATTGTAAATGTGATGGAGAAAACTTTGGACATTATGCTTATGATAGAAAAACTATGTAAAACTTAGTGATTTATAGACAATTTTGAACTTATAAATATTAGTAACAGATATTTTATGGTTAAATTTGATCTACATAAGAACCATGATAAGGCTGTTAATAAGAGTTCATGAATTATTTATGGCCACTACTTGTGCATTTTATGGTGATATTAATTTCTAAAAGTTTGTTACAATTTCAATTAATTTCTTTTTAAAGTAGTCAAGTTCTTTAATTATCTCTTTCTATTATTTTTATATTTCTTTATCTTATCTTGTTGATTTGTTGCATGTCTTTAAATATCAAATTAAATTCTTTATATAAGAACATGTCTTTAGACTAGTAAATAAAATTTTGTATGATATCAAATAAATGATTCAATTATGAGACTTTACTTAATAGTATTCTTCAAATATCTATAGTCAAGTATTATTATTAAGACAATACATTGAGACTAGAATGTGAGTGGATTGATGATCAAGTTTCACACATCATGAATATAAGATATTAAGTCATCAACTTATACACATTAGGAGTAATGATATATTGGATTGAGAACGTTGCATTGATCATTACATTATTGTCATAAATAATTTCTATTATGATAGTGGTATACCAAGTCCTTTGACCTAAAGTCACTATGAATCTTTTTGACAAGTTCTATGTTTTCACCCCTCAAACGTCACTTGTAATAAGGTAATGAAAAATTTAGAGGTTGAATATAAAATAAATCATATGAAGAAAAGTGAGTGATTTTTAAATGAGATTTGTCTCTTTCTTTGTAATGGGAGTAATATCTACAAGGCTTTCAAATATAGTTAAATTATAAAATGTATGACAGTACTCAATAAAATAAATATGAGATATTTATTTAGAAAGGTTTGCTCGAGTATCAAAAAAAACAAATGAAAATAACCTTTACAAGGTGACACATTTCATGCCTTATGCTCATTAGATTTGAGGACACAAAAGTAAATTGTGTCAATTTAATGATATTGTTGATATTTAGAAATAATATATTACTAGGTGTTACTCACTATTCATGATCTTAAATATAAATAGTTTATATTTAAATAATCTAAACCAAATACTAAAAAAACTTGTAGGTGTGTACAAGAACAAGGTCACTAAAGAAGTTAGATTCTAGTTAGACTAAAATTATTACCAAAATGGGTCAAACTCGTAATTGATGAGTCCAGTGATTAAAAAATGCTCACATAAGAGAACATTAGATGTGTAACCATAATATTTGTGGTGGTTCTCACTTATACATAACTAATAACATAATGATTATAGAGGACTTTAGTAGATTGTTTGTGTAGATACCCAGTGAGACGTAACTGTGGTTGTCACATTTGCCAAAATTTTATAAAGCATGAATGAAGTGTTTATGGTCTGGACGTTGAAAGGGTTTAAATGTTTATCTTAATAATTACTATTTAATGTGAAATGTTTACAAACTAGAATCAAGACCGACAAAAACTTTGGTTGTTACATTTGTAGTGTAAATTTGGATTTGGAATCCTAGTCGTGACAGAGTAAGACAAACCTATAGTTAGAAAGATTAGATGTGATGAACAATGAAAGCTTTATGCTTACTTTGCATAGTGTGTTAATTCATAATTGAATAATTAAACTATTCATTAATCATATTTAATTTTCATAAAGAATATGAGTGTTTCATTTGCACATTAAATAGTTATAGTCATAGATTTTTTTATTTAAATACAACTTGTGTGTTGTAACTTATTTTGGTTTCAAATGTGCATGTTATGTCTTACCTATTACATTTTGATTATATTCTTCTTTTCACCTTTCTCCACTCAAATGTAAAAATGATTTCTTATTACATCTTATAAATCTGTGACACATGCATGCATTTTGACTATTAAGAAGATTCATAGATGAAAAGAATGAAAAAGAATAATATTTTATGTTGTAGTTTTAGAATAAAAATCCTTCAAAGCTAGTATTGATTAAGTGTAGATATGTCAAAGCAGAGTATATTTATTTATACTAGAGAGTCAAGATGAGATAAAAATAATATCTAAATATTAACGGTGGATTTTGACTTAACTAAGTCATCTTTAATAGGATCAAAAACCTAGAGACAACAAATTAGATAATATCATAATATGAATTAAAATAAATGTTGTTCATCTTACTATCCAAGAGTCATATGTGATGCATTTCAAAATTGCTTTTTACCTAAATAACCTAAGACTAACTTTATGATATTAAGTGATTAACTAAAACTAACTTAAGACTACGTGAAATATGGATCTTGGTCATTATAAAATTTAACATTGAGATTTTTTTTCTTTCTTCATATACTGAGGATCATTGTTTTGAATCAAAATAATTAAATATTTTTAATTAAAAAGATATTATTTTAATATTTTATGATACTTATATACATATTTATTTCTATTGATATATAATCATAGCAATAAACATAAATAGTAAATTATCATTATGATTAGTCCTTAAGAAGGACAAGTTGTTTGGAATAAATTTTCTACACTGATAAAAAATTTGAGGATTCTCCTCAAGCAAAAGAAAAAGTTGTTGACCTTGGAATAACTAATATTTGAACCACTCATCTCAAATACCACTAAAACTGAGAATGATGCTTATAAGAAGCAATACAATGATGTTGTAGGTGTTAACTACTATGAACTCTGTTTTAAAAGCAATATGAGAACATGGAGGCATACAATATGATTGTACATTTGAAGATACTCTATCAAGATCAAATTAAGATGAAAGGTATGAGGTCTTTAAGGCCTTTTATTAATGTGAGATGGTTGAAAAAAGCCGTATTAGCTTTTGTCTGCTTAAGATGATTGAGTATGTTAAGAATCTAAAAAGGCTAGAAATCCATTTGTTAAAGAGTCAGTCATCAATCTTGTCCTACAACTATTGTCAGTCAGATAACCATAATCAATTCGTCATGAATTATAATATGAACAAAATTTACAAACCATTGCTAGAGTTGTTAAGCATGTTAAGAACTATTGACCAAATATTAATAAAGGAAAAAGTAAAACCATCTTAAAGGTTCAATTGGGAAAGGAAAAAAGAAAGTTCAAGAAACAATATGGCCTAAAACAAATTCAAAAGAAAAGGCAAAGAAGAGTCCAACACCTTTGGAAGAACAATAATATTTATTATTAGTTTAAAAACCACATTACATAGACTTATAAGTCTAAAATCTTTAAAATTTCTAAGATTATCAATCTTTACAATAAGAATAAATAACAACTTTTATATTTTTTTAATGTTTTTTTAAAAAATAACTTCTTAAAATAATATTTCTTTAAAACATAGTCTTTGTCTAGGTTTTTTTTTGCTACGTCAACACTGTTTCATCTACCATGCAAACAAAATTAATTTTTTTATTCAGTTTCATCTTTAGCAAAGACAAAATTAGGCGATTGTGTCATGTGTCATAAGTTTCGTTTGCTACATGGACGAAACTCTTAGGATTGTGTCACGTGTCATGTTTATCCAACTTCCACAACTAAATTCAGAGGAGAGAGAATAAGTGCATCTGAAAAACATAACTACGATTAATTTTTCTCTCTCTCTCTTTCTACCACCAATAGCATTCATTTTTGTCATTATTGCTCCTCTTGTAACTTGTATGATTGGATTTAACTTTTGACTATTTAAACTTGAAAACATGTCAAACAAAGCAAGAT